CCTGTGGGTTTTTCTTTATTTCACTTAGTGCAGCCTGCATTTCTGCCTGGGTTTTTTCCTGCTGTTGCGGTGCCCAGTGAGTTCTATGGGCACCCTGACAACCAGTGTTTGAACTCTGCCTCTGATGGGTTGCTTATCTCCATTTCATTTAGTTCTTTTCCTGGAGTTTTGTTCTTTCATTTGGGCCATATTTCTTTGTCTCCTCAATTTGTCAGCCCCCCTGTGTTTGTTTCTGTGTAATAGCTAGAACTGCTTTGACTGCCTGCCCAGCGTGGACTTGTAGAAAAGTCACCTGTCTGAATGAATGTGGCTTCTTTAAATCCTTGGTTGTCAGACTTCCATGCAGCTCGATTTTCTGACAAATCTGGGTGATGTTTGTTTTGTAGTTTAGTTGTAACTTTGGCTGTAGTTGTGCGCAGAGACGGAGCGTGTTTACTTACCTACCTACTCTTCCGTCTTGGCCAGAAGTCTCTTAATCTGCCCTCAGTCAGCTGGGTGGTCTGGGCAGCGGCCCCTCGCATGCTGGCACCACACTTTTGTCCCCCGCCCAGCAAGTTGTTTGTTGTCTCTCTGCCCCACTGGAATGTAAGCCCCTTGTGGACAGGGGCCTGGATGAGCTAGGCTTGGGCCACCTTGCAGGGCCTGGCCCAGCACCTGGCCAAGAGCAGAGCCAGGAGAATCTTGTTAAACAAGAGAATAATCCTGTGAAATCAGGACTGTCAACTTAGCAAAGGGCTCTGAGTGCTCAGAAAAACTAGGGGACTTGCCTGAGATGCCCTAGGCCTGGTCCTAGCTGCCGCTGCTGAGAGAGAAGGAAGGAGAAGCTTGTCTCCGGAGCAGCTGGGCAGGCTTAGAAGCCCAAAGGGGCCGGGCTCGGCCAGCTGGAGTGCTGTGGCGCCAGCAGTGCCCCGGACTCACGGGCTGCGCTGTAGAGCGGCTGCCTCTGGGGCTCTTGGGCAGGGCCACCAGCTGACACAGGCGAGGAGTTTCTGGTGCCAGGCACCCAGTGCCACGTGCCCAGCCCAACGGGTGCTTCCCAGCCTGGCTCCAGCCACCCCGGACTGTATAGCAGCAGCTCTTAACTGCTCTTCACGCTCACTCCGAAGCAGTAAGGGCTGACCACCCTTGCACAGGAGGTTCCAGTAGCTTCTTGGGCCCAGTGTGCTTTCTCTCCTTTCCCTTCCCCCTTCCCCTCTGGACCTTGCCTCCAGCACAGCCCTCCAGCCTCCCTGAGTGCCCAGCCCTGTCTTTGGGCCTGGTGGAGGCTGATCTGCCAGCCTTCCTGGGACTGCCCTCCTCCTGAGAGGTAAGGGGCCTCCTAGGGGCAGTCCCCTCTGTCTGTACCCCGCCCCCTCTGACTGGGCCTGAGGGGAATTTTTCTGTGACTCACTCCGCTGGCACTTCCTGTGGTCACCAGGGCAGGGGCTGGGGGGGACCCAGTGGGGTGGCTCTGTGTTCTGGGGTCACTGGGGGAGGGAGACCTGGTGTCCCGCCCTCTGGCGAGGATATGATTCCCTGAGGCCTCAGGGCGGCTGCAGACCATATTTGGGAAACTTGCTTTTCTCGCAGGCAGCCTGGGGATGGGGCCCTTGAGCCCTAGTGGGCCGCAGGGCAGCCCCACCCCTGCCTCCTTCTCCCTGGGCTCTAGCCTCTGGACTTGCTTCGGCCTCCTCTGTCCCATCCTGCCTAGAAGGTCGTCCACTGTGCTCTTTTTCAGGATGTGTATTTTTTTAACCCCAAAGCAAAGAAATGTTCATATTGAAAACTTCTGAAAATTAGGAAGAGAAAATCACATCCTAGTCATCGCAAGCATTAACACTGGTGTTCCTACCATGTCCCCATTATTGAAGTTGGCGTGATGTTTTATTAAGAGACGTAATCTGCACTTCTGTGCATCTGTAACTGGTAATCTCTGTGGGCCGTTTGCAGCAATCAGCAGTTCCAAGGGCCTCCGCCCCAGTGCGCACCTTGGTGCTCGGGTGATTCCACCAGTTCTGCCCTCCCTGAACTCTGAGCCACCTGCCTGGGCTGGCTCCTTCCCTGGATCTTGCCCCTCTTGGCTCCCAAGTTTCCTGCCTCTGGCCCTTTCTGGGACCTGGGGGCACTGAGCTGCTGGCACCCCCCGGGGCCGAACAAGTAGCCTTGAGGCCCAGAGCACATGCTCCAGACTTGAAGGTGCTTGGTCCTCTTCCCTGGTCCTCAGTGTGGCAAGCAGGGGAGACAGAGCTCAGGGCACAGTTGTGGCCCCAAATGCTGGTGTGGAGGGAGGGGGCTGGGCTTGAATGAGGTCTCATCCTCACTCTTCTCTGCCCCAGGGCCCTGGCCCCCACTTCCTGCTCCAGCCTGTTCTTCCTTCTGCCTGGAATTCTAGCTCCTGCTTGACTCCTTGCAGATGGAGTCCTAGGGAAGAGACTGGGCTCAAGTGGGAAAGGTCACACAGCTAGTAGGTGGCCAGAACTCAGGTCCCATTCCCAAGCCAGGGTCCAGACCAGGCTCTGTGTTCTCAGATCTCTGAAGACTCGGAGGAGGGCAACCAGAGCTGAGGCTTAGCTGGTGGGGCGGGAGCCCAGCTGGCCTGGCGCTGCCCCCTCCACAGACCTGGCTTCCTCCTGTGTGAGGCCTGGGCCTCTGCTGCCCTAGAAGGCCAAAACAGCCCTGACCTTGTCTCCCCCAGGCGCCTCCTTAGCTCCTTGGAACTGACCTTGGCTCCAGCTGGGGGGAACTTCTGGGATATCTCTGAGCCCAGTGTGAGCCAGGCACCTGCAAAGGGGGAGCAGCGGCATCAGGGGCCGAGCACTGAAAACTGAAGGCCTCCTGGCCCCTGGGTTCTCTACCGCCGTGAGGTTGTGTGCCTGTGGCCCAGTGTCACCAGTGCTCTGGTCCTTCTGCCTCTGACTTCACAGCCTTCCCCAGGGCCTCTCCTGTGCCTGGGCCACATGGAGCTCATGTCCCTGCTCTGCGGGGGGCGGGGGGCGGGGGTCTGCTGACTAACAGAACCTCGAATCAGTGCTCACTTCTGGGTGGCTGTGCAAATTAACAGGAGAATTGCAGCCGTCAAGAGTGGGGTTGGAGGGTGCTGCCCTTCCGTGTTGGCTTCACTTTTCCCATTTAGTCCTGATGTCTGTCTCATCGCCATTCCTCTTCCAGAAGCGCCTGTGCTAACGTAATGCGTCTGGAATCTCCCTGGTTAAGTGTCTCTGAGAAATGCCTAGCATTGTTTTGTAGACGTTTATAACATTTAGAGTAAAGGGCTCTAGCACGCAGATCTCCCGTGTGTTGCACTAGCTCACGCGGGTGTGGCCAGCCGGCCCCCCAGACACCTGCGCACCGGCTGGCACACGGAGCAGAGCGGCGCGTGTGTCCTTGTTTGCTGGCCGGGGCCCTGGGCTTTCTTCGTGATGGTCTCGGCCATTCTGCTTTCCCCTTTGGAAAATGCATTCTTCGTATTTTGTTGGTTTTCATGTCTTTTTCTTCCTGATTTGGATTAGTGCCTCCACATTCTAGATTAGTCACTCTCTTGTCTCTTGGTGATTTTTTACCATGTCTTTGTCCTTGTCAGCTTACGTTTTGTGCCTTTGGGGGGGGATCTTCATTTTTTGAGGTTTTGTTTTATAATTTCTTCCCATCTCGAGGTCACAAAGATACTGTCCCACAATTGTATCTGTTATTAGTCCTAGAGTTATACATCACAGTTAGACCTCTAATTGCCTTTTGTTTATAATGCGAAGCAAGTGTCCAAATGGATTTTACTTCCTACAGAGTGAAATTTTTCTTAGTATCATCTGCGACGTAGTCTCATTCTTCCCAGGTGCTCGGAGGCACCACCTGTGACGTCCGTGAGCTTCCCCCAGGGCGGCGCCCTTCCGGAGCCCTGCCCCCGATCTTTGGTCCTGTGCCACTCACTGGTTTGGGGTTGCGGCACATCTCTGTGGCTGGGAAGGAGAGCGCCGAGTGCCCCTTGGTGGTTTTTTAAGATTGTATTTCTTTATTTTTAGAGAGGGGAAGGGGGGGAGAAAGAGAGGAGGAAAAACATCAATGTATGGTTTTCTCTCGAGCGCCCCTAACTGGGGAACTGGCTCACAACCCAGGCATGTGCCCTGACTGGGAATCGAACCAGCAACCCTTTGGTTCTCAGGCCAGCTCTCAATCCACTGAGCTACACCAGCCAGGGTAGACCTCTTATTTCTACATATAATTCTAGAAGGGTTGGTTTTCTTTGATCAGATTGCTCAACAGCAACAATTTCTGTTGTCACTTTGATTGTAATTGTAGTTTTTAAGTGCACTTGGCTAATTGGCTTTTTATAGCACTTAGTCATCCCACTGTGAACTCGTTACATTTCCCCTAATTCAGGTTTCTCCTTGAGCCCTCTGACAGAAGGTAAAATTCCTTTCTCTGAGGTCCCCTGCAGTCTTCGCTTGATTAGTTCTTGAATAATTTGTAGCTTCGTGACATCTATTCTATGACTTTTCATTCGCATCAGTTGTGGATTCTTCCAGCGTGTTGGGATTCTGACACAGATGATGGCCGCTCTGTCCCTGCGTCCCCTCCCCACTGTCTTTGGGATTCCCTCTGGGCTGACGGCACTGGAGGGGCAGAAGGACTGTCGAGCCGGAGCAGGGAGGCTCTTTTCTTCCCAGAACGCGTGGCCGTTACTGTCATCCTTGCTGCCCTCCCCAGTGCCAGCCGAGGCTGCAGCATGACTTTGGGGGGTGGTGTTTAAGGGTATCTTGAGTGCCCTCCCTGGAGTGTGGAGGCTGCGGTTGAGAGGATCTTGAGATACTGTCCAGGCCCCTTTGGAAAAAATTTAGGATCAGCTGAAACTTTCTCCTGGAGGCCGAGGCGACAGAGGTGCAGGGTGGGGGGGGCCAAACCCTGCTGAGCTCCTCTCCCGGCATAGAGGCCAGCCGCTTCCTCTGGAGAGGCGTGGGAGCCGGGCAGGCTGCGGAGGCCCCACGCACGTGCTCCTGCCCTCACGCCCGCCTGTGTCTTCTCCCCAGAACGTGCTGGCCAAGGCCCTCTACGACAACGTGGCCGAGTCCCCGGATGAGCTGTCCTTCCGCAAGGGCGACATCATGACGGTGCTGGAGCGGGACACACAGGGCCTGGACGGCTGGTGGCTCTGCTCGCTGCATGGGCGCCAGGGCATTGTGCCCGGGAACCGCCTCAAGGTCCTGGTGGGCGCGCACGGCAAGAAGCCCGCAGGGCCCGGCCCGGGCCCGCCCGCCCCCTCGGCCCCGCCCCAGCCTGGCCTCCACAACCCAGCTGCCCAGTACACTCCCATGCTGCCTGTCACTTACCCACCCCAGCCTGACAGTGTCTACCTGGTACCTACCCCGAGCAAGACCCAGCAGGGCCTCTACCAAGCCCCTGGGCCCAGCGCACAGTTTCAGTCTCCCCCCGCCAAGCAGACGTCCACGTTCTCAAAGCAGATGCCCCATCTCCCGTTCCCCAGTCCAGCCTCAGACCTTTACCAGGTGCCTCCAGGGCCTGGCAACTCCACCCAGGATATTTACCAGGTGCCACCTTCTGCTGGGATAGGGCACGACATCTACCAGGTTCCTCCATCCATGGATGCGCGCAGCTGGGAGGGCACGAAGCCGCCGGCAAAGGTAAGGCCACCCCGGCATGACTGGGCAGCCCTCCTGCTGGATTTCACCCAGACCCAGGTCTCGGGGCCCGGTTCAGCGCCCCTGGGTTCTCCAGGGCTCCAGCAGCGGCTGTGTGTTTGGTCTGGGGGAGGTGGGTGTTTGGGAAATGCGTTCATTCTGCTGCTGCCATTGGACGTGAACAACTTGGGCCAACACAGAGAGGAGACATCGAGCTGGCCTTGGACCATGAGGTGTTTGTCAGCAGACAAACCCTAGTAGGAGGATGGCATTAGCAGAGGACTCAGCCTGTCGAAGGCCTGGGGGTGTGGAAAAGTGATAGGCAGGCGGGGCTTGGCTGGTGCGGCCAGAGCAGCAGTCCGGGGCTGCACTCCCAGGCCCTGATGCCACCCAGGACCCAGATGCTTTCCTGAAGGCGGAGGGTTTTGAGTAAGAGTGACCTGCCCAATCCTTGTCCTAGTGAAGTCATTCTGCCCACAGAGTGGAGGGTGCGGGGAGCAGTGAGGGGCTCAGGCTGAGGCAGGGAGCCCAGGAAGGGGAGCGAGGTTTGGTTGGGGGTGCTGGCGGCACTGGAAGGGGAGAAATCTTGCACGGAGGGCAGTGCGGCAGTTTGGTGAGCGTGGCCAAACTCCCAGAAGAACGGAGTGAACGAGAGGAGAGGTCTGGAGGTGAGTAGCGCCTCCGTGCCTGTCAGGGGCCCTGGCTCCTTCCCTCTTGTTGCTCCGACTTCCTCGCTGAAGGGCTTGGGTCTCTTGGGCTGGAGTGGTTGCCACATGAGCTCCAGCCAACGTGTCTGCATCCCGGCCAGCAGGAAAGGAGGAAGGGACAACGGGGAGAGGCCAGATGCCACATCCCTGGGGACTCCCGAGTCCTCTGGGCGTATGTGTCAGCCCCTTAGGGAGGGGTGGGGCACATCTTCTGGTGTTCTGGTTCCACAGGTGCCCACCCCTTCTCCTCTTCTGGGGCATGTTAGCAGGCCTGCGGCTCCCACAGGGAGATTGGTTTGTGCCTCCAGCACTGTGGGAAAGACACTGCCTGTGGGGCTGCCGGTGTAGGGATTGCCCCAAGAGAGACCCTGGTTCCAGCCCCTTGTGAGCTGTTGCCAGTGGATGTTGGGCCAGGGGACAGGCTCTGTGCCCTGCACCCTCCCCAGTCCATCTGCCTGTAGGAAGGAGGCAGGACTGAGGCAAGAGGCCAGGCCCACGGGCTGCCTGGGGCCTGGCTGAGTCAGAAGCAACATTTTCTCACCTTTGGCCTGTGTCCTCCCCTGCACACGTCCCTTCAAGAGTTGGGGAGTGGAGTTTCCTGAGTCCCGGAAACAGAAGTCCCATGGACTTGGAGGGCTGTCTCCCTGTGGTAGGGAGGCCCCCGCAGCCCTCCCAGCCCTGGCTGCCCAGCCCCCCTCTTCAGAGGGAGAGTGCAGCGAGTGGTGTGACTCAGGGGCCCTGGTAGGAGAGGACGGGCGGAGGGCACCGCAGCTGGGCTCTGCTGGAATCAGCTTCCCCAGGCCGGGCCCAGCCTTGCTTTTGTATCGTGTAGAACCCAGGGCCTCCTGTGTCTGGAGAGCCAGCAACAGCATAGACAGACCCGCACTCACCTCACTGAGCCTCTGTCCTCAGAGCCAGCCCAGGGCTGAGGGGGGAGACTTGCCCCTGCCCACGGGGTGGAGCTTGGCAGCCAGGAGACCTGCCCATGGACCCCAGGTCACTGGCTCCCACTTCCTGCCCTACCTGCCCCTTCAGCTGCCAGGCCAGAGACAGGCGGGTGGCAGAAGCTTGCCCTGCTGGAGGGGCACAGCCCTGCCTGGGGAGCCCTTTCCCGTGGGGAGGTGGCAGAGAGCAGTGCCTAGCTGGTGAGCCTTGGGACAGGCCATAGTCCATCCCCTTACACACACAGTCCGTGCTCTGCACACTGCACACTGCACCCCAGGGAGGTGCGCCCTTTCCCCCACCCTTCTCTCCCCCGAGTCTTTGCAGTCGGCCCATCCTGGTGCATCTGAGAGGCTGGGCAGGCAGGGGAACCCTTGGGCCAAGAAACACAGTGCTGAGACTCTTGCGGGCTGCAGACTCAAGCCCACGTTTTGGCCATTGGTTCTGTTGCCCTACAGTTGAGGGGCTTGCTTTTACACTGCTGCTGGGCTCACCTGGCAGGCGCCCGGCTGCCCTCTCCCAAGAAGCCCCACCGATCCTGGCTCGGGCAGCTGAGATTTCATCTATCTTTGTTTCGCGATGGTGAAAGTGGTGCTTGGTTGTCATAGAAAATGCATAATCAGTGCAAAAGCCTGGACAGGAGACGCCCTGGTCCAGAGGTAATCACTGGCCAGTCTGGGTGTATTTTGTCCAGCATAGTCTCTGCCTTTCACAGGCTCATACACATTCTTTTGCATTTTGAAGCTGTAAATCCAATATCAGATATCGAAAGCACTTCTGGGTCCCTAAGCATGATTGTGACTGCTGCCCTGGGTTTCACTCTGCTGCCTGCCTCCCCACCGGTGGGCTCTCAGTGGTTTCTGATGGTGCATGTCTCTGACAGTGAGGGGGCAGACGTCTTGGTGTGTGCGCATCTGTGCCCACATTTCAAGGTCCTGCTTTCATAAACCTCGTTATTCCCTTTGGGGCTGGGAAGCAGGCTCCTGGTTCTGCCATAGAGGTTGGCTGGGCTATGGAGGAACCCTGCCAGGACTTTGGTTGGGGAGGCTGGGCCCCTGGTGCCCAGGACTCTGGTGGGCGAGTGAGGCTAGTGGTCAGGAGGGGTCAGATCCTGGAGCAGAGTGGCTCGAGAGAGGTCGGCACCCTTTGGGCTGAGTCATGGCTTTGGGAAGCTGAGAGAAATAGGTAAGGGGGGGCGTGTTTTGTGAGGTCATTCTTGGGGGTGTGCCTCTGGGGCAGGGCGCAGCTGTGCCTACGGGAGCAGCTGGGGCGGTGAGTCAGGCTCTGGGGAGACGCAGCTGCGCTCAGTCCTGTGCCTCCTGGGAGCTTTGCCTCTTCCCCAGGCTCCCGGTACTGGGCCGTGGTGGGGTCCGGAGCAAGGGGGCCTGTGTCAGGCATGTCCACCACTCTCAGTGAGAGCGTAGATGGTCACCTGCTGTGCCCCACAGCACTCTGATGTCGTCCCATTTCTCGGAGGAGGAAACCAAGCTTCTGGATGGTGGTGTGGTGGGGGTGTGCCAAGGCCAGATGTGAGTCAGTGACCCTTTTGCAGAAGGGGAAGTCTGGCAGCCGAGCCATCTGGAGGTTGCTGGGCACCCAGACAGAGTCGGGCAGGAGGCCTGCCCTATCTCACTGGGCCTCGATAGCCATTAGCGCCATTAGCTTCATGCCTCACTCTTGCTCTGCAGACACCCCGATGGGACCCTGCTTCTGTGGGTCTGCTGTCCGCACTGCAGAGGTGTGTGTGTGTGAGAGAGAGAGTGTGTGAGAGAGGTCTTGGGTTGGGGTCTGTGTCCCCTCCCAGACTCTGGCTGTGTCCCTCACCCCCAGGGGCCTTGAGGTCCTGCTAATGGGGCCCCATGTGGGGAGCAGGACAGCCTCTAATTAGCGGGCTCAGCAGCTCTGTGGAGAGATGGATTTTGTAATGAGGTTTCTTCTCCACTGGTGGCTTCCATACTGTTTTTTTCTACCAGAAAAACTTGCTGGCCAATATAGCTGCTTACTGTCACCAGCTCAGCCGCAGGAGTGGCAAGCTGCCCAGGGCCTGGGGTCCAGCCCCCAGAGCCCTTCCTCCTGCACTACCCTTCATTTGCAGGGGGCTGAGAGGGGCTTGCGTGCACAACCCTGTTCTTGAGGCCTGGTCCCCACCTGCCCTTCAGAGGCCAGCAAGGGTCCTGGAGATGCCTCAGGCCTTGTTTCAAGGCCCCGCCAACCTGCCACATCCCACCAGCCCCCGCCTGCCCGCCTGCCCTACTGTTGGCAGGTTCCCGTATCCAAAAATAGCTCTGGAGGAGACTCAAGTCTGGGGCTCAAGGAGGGAGATGAGTCTGGGGAGGGCTGCCAACTCCATTTCCAGACACGCAGGGGTGGGGGGCAGTGGGCGGGGGACACCCCACTGAGGCCCCAGCAGCCAACGGGAGCCTGCCCAAGAGCCCGGTGTTGCTTTGCTGCGCTGGCTGCCCAGGAGGCCAGCAGGGAATGCAGGAGCGGGAGGCTCTGCCAAGCTCTGGGCCCATGAGAAAAGTGCTGGTGCCTGGCCCCTGGAGAGACACTCAGCTGCTCCTGGCAGCCAGCAGGGCCTGGGGGGCGGGGCACAAGCAGGGACACCGGAATCTGGGGGCCTTGAGCCTGAGGGCGGGCCCTGCCTCAGCCCTACTGCCCCAGGGCTATGTGTGGGGAGGGCCTGAGTCAACCCTGTCCCAGACGTCCCCTTTGATCAAGAAACAAAAGGCTTCTCTGTCGGAGAAGAGCAGAGCAGGCAGCCTTGTGGGGGAGGCTTGCCCTGAGCCGCCTTAGGAGATCCTGCCAGCCTCTCGCTCAGGGCTGACCCCCACCCAGTCTGCTCCTCCCACAGGGCCAGGTGCCTGCAGGGAGGCGGCTGCCTGCCCAGCACTGCCTGTTGGACAGGGTGCTGACAGGAAGGGCTGTGGGCAGCTCGAGGCTCTGGATCCTGGGCCGGGGGCAGGGCACCAAGGCAGGGAGAGGCCGGTCTCCTCTCTGGGCAGATGTTACCTGCTGGGGTGAGTGGTGGTCTCAGGGCCCCGTGGGGATGGGGGTGGGAATCTTGGTTCTAGCATCGGCTACTCCCTCATGCCCACACCCTCTCTCTCCATCTGCTCAAGAACTGGCTCTGGGGCCTGGGAGTCCCTACTGACCCTGTTCAGGAGTCTCCCCGAGAAATGCTGGGGGGGCCGGGGAGGACAGGGGCCTGCTTGCCGCTCTGCCAGGCCACTGCCTACTTCTCTGGAGGCCCCCGGCTGTGGTGGTTGGGGTCTGCTCAGGCCACCTCCTCTGGCCCCACCACCTGCATCTGCGTCCGAAGGTGGCTGCTGGATCCTGTGGTCAGGAGAGCTCCTTGCTGGCAGACCTTTCTGAGAAGCATGTAGCTGGGAGGTGTCCTGAGGCAGGGGCACCTCACTCAAGGGTGGCCCACCCTCCGTCAGCCCATAGGCACCCTCTTCTGCAGCCTCCTGGGTCATCCAGCGGGACAGGCTGCCTCTGTTCCCTGGCCGGAGCCGCCAATAAATATTGGTTTATTCCCAGTAAACCCCGGGGGCCTAGTGTTTGCCAGGGGTGGCATTTCCTTGAAGAAAGGGCAGAGAATGCGTGAGGATGAGAATGCCCTTGCCTTAGAGTGACCTCTGGGCCCACCCTTGGGGGACCCCCCACTCACCGCCTTGGTGTCCCAGCTCTTCACGGGAGGAGTGGAATCTCCCCGAGGACTTGAGGGTGGGCCCTGGAGCCTGGCTTCCAGGACTAGTGGAGACAGTCTGCGGTCTGTCCTAGGTGGTGGTGCCCACCCGCGTGGGGCAAGGCTACGTGTTTGAGGCCTCCCAGCCAGAGCAGGACGAGTATGACATCCCACGCCACCTGCTGGGCCCAGCGCCCCAGGACATCTACGACGTGCCCCCTGTTCGAGGGCTGCTCCCCAGCCAGTACGGCCAGGAGGTAGGTGTAGGGGCTGGAATGGGGGCGACTCAGGCTGGCCCTGCTCGGGGAGCTGGGCTTTCTCAGCCGTGGCCAGGGCAGGGGGTCTGGGGTGGGCGCTGTGGAGTTTCTGCTTTGCATTTCCTCAGGGGACCCTGGCCCCTGAGTCACGGCACCTTTCCTGCCCCTCAGGTGTATGACACGCCTCCCATGGCCGTCAAGGGCCCCAATGGCTGGGACCCGTCCCTGGACGTGTATGACGTGCCCCCCAGTGTGGAGAAGGGCCTGCCGCCGTCCAGCCACCACGCGGTGAGCAGTGGGGGACGCTGGGGCCTCCGGGGTTGAGTCCTGATTGCGCTCAGGGTTCCGGACGGGACTGCGGGTGTGCGCACCACAGTGGGGGCCCTCGTCTGCAGGGCTGGGGCCTCGAGGGACCTGACTGCAGACCCCGGCTCTGTCCCTCTCTTGCCCTGTGATGGGTGCTTTTCTGAGCCTCAGCTTCCTCAGCTGCAGAAGGGCCCTTGGAGGGCCCTCCCCATGGGTGCTTGAGGGGAACACCCGGGGTGTCGGCGGGGTGAGCACAGAATTTGGCACATCCGGACCAGGGCTCTTCTGAGGGCAGAGGAGGGGTGCCCAGTAACGATGAGAGGGAATTACCGTATTTTTGGACCATAAGACGCACTCAGGTTTTAGAGGAAAATAGGGAAAAATTTTTTGAAGTGTAAAGGGTAAAGTATTTAGTAATGTAACATAATATTTCACCAATGTAAATGTAAACAACACTCAGCAGCAGCATTAACAACCATCATTCCTCCCAAATTAGGTGGGAGTGGGGAGGGGGCAGGGTATGCCTTATAGTCCAAAAAATACGGTAGGAGCAAACCAGGTTGTCCTTAAGCTGACAACATAAAAAGCTCAGTCACATGCGTGCCACAGAGCAGTGAATACACAGGCAGCGGTGGTGGTGGCAGTGATGGCAGTGGTGGTGGTGGTGATGGTGGCAGTAGTGGCAGCTGTGACGGTGGTGGTGGTGGCTGTGATGGTGGTGGCGGTGGCGGCGGTGGCGGTGGTCGCGGTGAAGGTGGTGGTAGTAGTATAGCCGACCTCCCACTGAGCGTTGGAAGTTACACGGTGCACTGCCTCACGGAGCCCTGACAATGCACCTGCGAGGCAGTTCTTCCATCTCACGCCTGGGCAGACGGGCGCCGCCTCAGGTCACACGGCCAGTCCGCAGTGGAGCCAGGCTTCTGAGCTCAGCTGTGGCTCCACAACTGGGCTCTCAGCTGTAACCTGCGTGGACGAACCTGTGCACTCGGGCCGGCCGTGTCTGTGCAGGCGACCGAGTCCCGGCCCTAGGCTCCAGGTGGGCTGGTGGGTGGGCAGACTTGACCACCCTTTGGCCCCTCAGGTGTACGATGTTCCTCCATCGGTGAGCAAGGACGTCCCTGACGGCCCACTGCTACGTGAAGAAACCTATGACGTGCCCCCTGCCTTTGCCAAGGCCAAGCCCTTTGACCCAACCCGCCACCCGCTGGTCCTGGCCGCACCGCCTCCAGACTCCCCGCCAACTGAGGATGTGTATGACGTGCCGCCCCCTGCGCCCGACCTCTACGACGTGCCCCCCGGCTTGAGGCGGCCTGGCCCTGGCACCCTCTACGACGTGCCTCGAGAGCGGGTCCTTCCTCCTGAGGTAGCCGACAGCGGTGTGGCTGACGATGGTGTGTATGTGGTGCCCCCACCGGCCGAGCGAGAGGCCCCGACTGAGGCCAAGCGCCTGTCCGCTTCCAGCACGGGCAGCACTCGAAGCAGCCAGTCGGCATCCTCCCTGGAGGCACCAGGGCCGGGCCGAGAGCCCCTAGAGCTGGAGGTGGCCGTGGAGGCCCTGGCCCGGCTACAGCAGGGTGTGAGTGCCACTGTAGCCCACCTCTTGGACGTGGCGGGCAGTGCCGGTGGGTGTGGGGGCTGGCGCAGCAGCACTGAGCCTCAGGAGCCCCAGGTGCCGGACCTGCGAGCTGCTATGGCCGCCGTCCAGGGGGCCGTCCATGAGCTGCTAGAGTTTGCCCGCAGTGCCGTGGGCAATGCTGCCCACACTTCTGACCGCACGCTGCATGCCAAGCTTAACCGGCAGCTGCAGAAGATGGAGGACGTGTACCAGACATTGGTGGCCCACGGTCAGACCTTCGACAGTAGCCACGGAGGCGCTGGGGCCACTCCCGAAGACCTGGACCGCCTGGTGGCCTGCTCACGGGCTGTGCCTGAGGACGCCAAGCAGCTGGCCTCCTTCTTGCACGGCAATGCGTCGCTGCTCTTCAGACGGACCAAGGCCCCTGTCCCAGGGCCCGAGGGAGGTGGCCCCCTGCACCCCAACCCCACCGACAAGGCCAGCAGCATCCAGTCCCGGCCCCTGCCCTCACCCCCCAAGTTCACATCCCAGGAGTCACCGGACGGGCAGTACGAGAACAGTGAGGGGGGCTGGATGGAGGATTACGACTATGTCCACCTGCAGGTGGGTGCCTGCCCCGCCTGGGGCCCTGGGGAAGCCCCCTGGCCCATCGAGCTCTGATTTTTCCACCCTTGTCGTGGGCCCCTCGTCACCCTGCACGGGAACCTGTGGCCCAAGGAGGATTTAGCCCCAGCAGGGTTTCGGGAGTCCCTGTGTTCTCCTCTCACCCTGACCTTCCAGGACAGGTGGCCCCCGGAAGCCGATGCCTTCCCCCACCGCAGGCCTTTGGGTCAGTGTGTTACTGTCGTCAGGGTCCTGCAGTGCCAGCCAGGGAAGGCTCTAGAGCCCCCGCAGGGGTGGGGCTTCTCTGGTGACCAGGACAGAGGTGGCCGTAGTGTTTGGGGAGGTGGATTCTGAAGCATATGCAAAAGCAGATACTTCCAGCAGGGAGAACTCCCACGGTGGTGGGAGGTGGGGTGGGGTGGGGTGGACCTCTGAGCAGGAACACGGGTGCTAGTCAGTCTCGGCATTCCAGGCTGAGGGCCAGCAGATGCCAAGGCCCAGTGGTCAGGGACAGGAGAGCAGGCATGGATATGATTCCTGACACTGGAGCCAGGCAGAGAGGATGTCTGTGGCCACAAAGACCATGCCCAGCCCTTCCTGTGCTGGCCGGAGATAGAGGAGCCCAGGAGAGCCACTTCCTCGGGAAGCTGCCCCCGCCTGTGGGGCCTGTGGGGCTCTGGCTCACTCAGACCAGTCTTTGTCTGCCCCCCAGGGGAAGGAGGAGTTTGAGAAGACCCAGAAGGAGCTGTTGGAAAAGGGCAACATCATGCGGCAGGGGAAGGGCCAGCTGGAGCTGCAGCAGGTGAGGACATGCTCAGGGTCACCAGCCTGGCCCAACATGCACAGGCTTCTCCTCCTTCAGAGGAGCCAGCTGCCCCTCGGCTGCGTGACTGTCTCCGTGGGCGGGTTGGGTCGATGTTTTGTCAGAGTGCTCGTGGTGGCCGTGGCCATGTTAGCGCACACACACGCTGAACAGTGTGAAAGAAAAAGCAAGCTCCCCAGAGGCAGTTTAATGTGATACTTTGTGAGCAGTTACGTCTGCTTTTATCCCACGGGTTTTTCCATGGTATCAAACACTGCACAAATGCCATGCAACAGCTACTATTGAACATTTACATTGTACCCAATCCGCAGATAAACTATCTGCCAGCATAGAATTTCCTGCATGTTTTGGATCACTTGAAAGACATAGTTAAAAAATTAAGGGAGTTTTATTCTGATTATGAAGATAATAAAAGTTAAAGACTAGCACAAGGTAATACAAATATCACCCATCAGGTTTCCCCCACCCCCCGCCCCTGAGACCAGAGTGCACACAGGCAGAGCTGCAGCCTCCCCAGCTGCAGAGCGGGATCCGGGGGGCACCTGCTCAGGCTGACGCCAGAATGATGAATAAAGAAAGGTACAGGGCTTGGAACACCCCTGGCACATAGATGATGCTCAGTGACGGGGTAGATGTTGATAATTGTACATAAAGTACACGCAGTCTCCAGTGATTTAAGAAGTGACATGTGCTTTATCCTCTGTTTCCTGCGGACCCCACCAGCGTTTGTTCGGCCAGTCCCTGTCGGTGGCATCTAGGCTCTGGGCATTGCTTTCGTAAATGTTGCCTTGCTGAATGTAACTCTCTTCACGTATCTATCTCCAAGAGATCACTTAGGTTACTGGAAGCTGGACTAAAAGGTAGGAGTAGGTAGGAAAAACTCTGAACATCTAGAGTTTCTGGTCTGGAGACATGAAATACAGGTGAAGTACAGGCACATGAAATGTATTGACAAGGATGTTTATTGCTCCATTTCCATATCAATGAAGACTCTGGAACCCCCCCCCCCACAGCTGTCTAAGAGTATGGTTTGCATGAAGTATGACATTTTCGTAAGGTAGACTGTTGTACAGCTGTGGCATTGAGAACTGTCAGAAAATGGAAAAGACCCGCCAGAGTCCAGAACAGAACAGAAGTGAGTGTCTTCTCTTACTAGACAAGAGAACCGAGGGGTGAGCTTTACCATAGCTGCCTGAGGGGAGAAGTTGGGGGGCTGTGAGTGGTACGTTTCATGTTGGTTTCGCCAATTAAATTAAGGCCCGACACCTCAGGTAGAACAGAACTTGTCTTTCCCTGAGTCTGTGCACAAGCCGGTCACAGCCACTCAGTGCCCTGGTCGGAAGCGGCTCCGGTGAGGACCTGTCAGTCAAACCAGGCTCCCAGGCGAGGCCGCCGCTCATGGAAGCTTCCCTCTTGTCACGTGCTTTTACACAAACTCACCAGCATGAAATGATTGACCTGTTGGCGCTAAAAGTAGGTGATCAAATATTATGTATAGTGTTGTCAGGTTTTTTAAAGTGTTTATAATGTTTAAGATTTTATTTATTTACTTTTAGAGAGAGGGAGAAAGAGAGGGAGAGAAACATCATTTGGTTGCCTCTCACGCATCCCCCAACAGGTCAGGCATGTGCCCTGAGTGGGAATTGAACCGGCAACCTTTCAGTTCATAGGTTGGTGCCCAATCCACTGAGCCACACCAGTCAGGGCTGAAAATCTTGAACAATATTTACCTTTTTTTGGGGGGTAGGGGTACAGATTTTTGTTTTCTGAAATTTTACAAATACCAAGGCATTTCTTTTGTTTAGAATTTTTATCATGAAAAATGTAATACATTTATAAGATTGAAAAGAAGTAGCCCTCTGGGTCCCATTCACTCAGCACCAGCCGTTCTTGACACAGCGACTGTCTGGCCCCCGTTGCCCCAGACCATTTTGAACGCATTATGTTGTGTGCAGAAAGCTTGAATGTGTCATTCTGAAAGATAGTTTACCAGATCTTTTAGTGTATTATTTTGGGTGCGTGGGATTCCAGGTGATAGGTACCTTATTTTCTTCCCGTGTGGTGTATTTGAACCTTTTAATGTTGTGTACATTAGGAAGAACATGTTTTTAACTTTCCATTTGGAAAACGTATAGATTCACAGGAGGTCGCAAAGAGAACACAGAGCAGTCCTGTGCGCCCGTCACCCAGTCCCTCCCCACAGTCACTTCGGACGAGAGAGCAGCACCCGGTGACGTGCCTCACCCTGCAGCCGCTCATCTGTCCCATTTCTACCACTTTGTCATTTGAAACATGTCACACCATACATGAGATCGGTGAAAGTCGGGTGGAGAGCAGAACCCGTCACTTGCTGTGGGCACCGCCCCGTTTACCCCTTCCTGCCGTGTCTGCGGCTTCACTCTGCTTTCCCTCTCCCCAGCTGAAGCAGTTTGAGCGGCTGGAGCAGGAGGTGTCACGACCCATAGACCACGACCTGACCAACTGGACGCCGGCCCAGCCCCTGGCCCCGGGGCGCACGGGGGGCCTGGGCCCCTCGGACCGGCAGCTGCTGCTCTTCTACCTGGAGCAGTGCGAGGCCAACCTGACCACGCTCACCAACGCGGTGGACGCCTTCTTCACCGCCGTGGCCACCAACCAGCCGCCCAAGATCTTTGTGGCCCACAGCAAGTTCGTCATCCTCAGCGCCCACAAGCTGGTGTTCATCGGGGACACGCTGTCGCGACAGGCCAAGGCCGCCGACGTGCGCAGCCAGGTGACTCACTACAGCAACCTGCTGTGCGACCTGCTGCGTGGCATCGTGGCGACCACCAAGGCTGCCGCCCTGCAGTACCCGTCGCCCGCCGCTGCCCAGGACATGGTGGACAGGGTCAGGGAGCTGGGCCACAGCACCCAGCAGTTCCGCCGGGTCCTGGGCCAGCTGGCGGCTGCCTGAGAATGGATGACCTGAGGGATGGAGGCCAGGGGAGGAGGGCGGTGAGGCCCGGGCTGCCCCGGGCACCCTCCCCAAGAGTCCTGGTGCTGCAGGCCGGGGGCAGGCAACCTCAGCTCCACCCAGGCCTGGTGCCCTGGATGCCCAGGGATCTGTACATATTTATGACAGGGCAGGGTGTGGGCTCAGAGGGGCCCAAGCAGAGCTAGGCCTCCAGAGCTGAGGCCAAGGAGCAGGCTGGGGGGGCGTCCCCGAGTTCACTGTGGGCCTGGAGCGGGCCCCGACACTGAGCGGCCCAGCCAGGAGCACGCAGGCCCCCTGACCCACAGGGCCTTGGTGGCCCCTGTGGGCTGACCCCATCCCCATGGGGGTGCCATGTCCCCGCCCCGCAGGGGTCAGTGCAGCTGTGATGTGTCCCTTCTCAGCACCAGGAGAAAACCCTAAAAAACTATTTTTCATTATTGACTTTCCAATAATTTGGCTAATGGTCTACATTTAAATAAAATTTTTAAAAATGATAAGCACTTTCCTGAGGTGTGAGGGGCAAGAGGACTCTCGGGTGGGAAGGTAGGTTCGTGCCCCTTGTGGATGCCCAGGGTAGGAGTATGGACTGGAGGGACCCTTGGTGAGGCTGCGGGAAGCAGCACTGGGCCGGGAGCTGAGGCCAGGCACCTCCTGCCCAGTGGGGGGAGGTCTGTGAATGGCTCTAAGGCCTGCGGGGCCCGGTGCAGCCTGCCCGCTGTGTAGTCTGGGCTGGGGGTCCGGTGGTCTGGGAGTCGGGCCTGGTCTCCCCCTCCCCGGCTGCTGGCTCTGCCTCCTTCCCTCCAGCGTCCTACGTCCTGCACAGGCCATGGCGCCCCTGGCTGGTCCTTGAACAGGACAGAGGCAGCCGGGAAAGGGCAGTGGCTCCCTCATCCACCACTGAGAGGAGGGGTCCTTTCCAGTGTTGCCAGTGTGGGCATGGGAGAGGCAGCCCGGGGCCGCTCCTGGGAGGGTCCCTGGAACCAGAGGTCCATGCAGGCAGTAGCAGGCTCGTCCTCTGGACACTGCTCCCCAGTGCTGGCCCCAGGCAGGTTGAGCAGGCGGCATGTGGTGAGGACCTGGCAGTCCAGCCCAGGTGGGAGTGTGGCAGCCAAGGTCCCATTCATCTTCATGTGCCCTCCTTGGCCACTCTCTGGGGACGTGGACTAAGGAGAGCCCCTCCCAGGGACCCCCCTGCCACCTGCCCCAGTGAATGTCCAAGTTCAGGGGCAAAGTGAGGCCTGTATTGGGGTGAGACCCCAATACAGGACACGGACACCATTGATTCTCACAGGTTTATTGAGGCTCATGGGAGCAGGTTGGCAGGGAGACCAGGGCAGGGCTGGGGGCTCAGTTGCTGGCCAGGATCTCCTCAACCCAGGGTATGAGCTTTGTGACACGGGCATACACGCCAGGGCTGGAGGTGGAGCAGACGCCGCTGCCCCAGGACACGATGCCCACCAGGGTCCAGGCTCCATCCTTCTGGCAGACCAGGGGGCCGCCGGAGTCGCCCTGCAGGGGAAGGAGGGAGGGGCTTGGACCTGGCAGCCCGGAGGTCTGACTGTTGTTCCCAGAGCCCGGCCCAGGGCCTCACATCCAGCAGACCCCGCGCCAGTGAACTGGAGGGACTGTGCGAGGAACCTGGGCTGCCCCCCAGGGGAGGTTCCGTGTTGGAGGCTCAGTGAAGTGAGTTTGACTGGTAGGAGGAGACCGTGGCTGGTGCCAGCTGTGAGGCCGCTGTGAGGAAGGGCTTCCCTGTTCCACTGCCCGGCTGCACACTGCACAGCTCCAGGCAGCACCATTTCCTCAGGTGCCAGCAGCAGTGGAATCTCGCCCTGTTTTGGCTCCAAGACCAGAGCCCCCTATTCTGGCACTTCCCAGAGGTCACTGATGCTCTGCCAGGATCCCAACTACTCGGGTAGGAAGGCCCAGGAAGAAAGCGCAGGTCCCAGAAAGAGCCTGCCTGCTCCTTCCATTCCTGTCTGTGGGAGCCCTGACCTGGGCTTTGGCCTGAACCCACCGATGGCTGGGGGGGGAGGGGTGCAGAGCGAGCCCGAGGCCATACCATGCAGGAGGAGACGCCGCTGGCGCCTGCGCACACCATGAAGTTGGTGATCTTGCTGCCCCAGAACTTCTTGCACTTGGCGTTGGACAGGAGGGGCAGGGCTGCCTGCTGCAGCTTGTCAGGGGTGTCGGCATCTGGAAAGGTGGGGTGCTGGTCAGCAGCTGCAGCCCCACCCTGCCCCAGCCCCCACCGCCTGCCCACCTGGGGGTCACTCACTGCTATACTTGGTCAGGCCCCAGCCGGTGGTGGCGCACAGGGTCCCGGCAGCAAAGTCGTCGTCAGCGTTGGGCAGGCACACGGCGGACACGGTCTCGGAGAAGCGGGCGGGCGTGGCCAGCTTCAGCAGGGTGATGTCGTAGTTGGTGGTGAACCTGTTGTACTTGGGGTTCTTGAAAACCTGTGGGGTGGGGCCGACAGTCCCAGTTGGGGTCGGGAGAAACTCACACAGGGCTGGGCTGCCCCTCAGTGCCTCGGTTCCCTCTCTGAGCGGCGGCTTGCTCGGCAGGGCAGCTCCTGCTGGCGGCCCAGGAGCCCAGGCCCAGACAGCCGCTGCGTGGAGCCTCCACACCCTGCTTTCTCCTTCACCCCGTCATGATAGGGTATGGGGGTGATCAGGAGGAGCTGGGGCTCCCTTCTCACTCCCCAAGTCCAGGGGCTTTTCAGTCCTGTCACTACAGCCCAGTTAACCTGGGCTGCAACTCACGAAGGCCCGCCATGCCTGGGGCCACCCGGGTCCCAGGACCACTGTACCTTGGCAATCTTCAACACCTGGATGTCCTCGGCATCTGAGCCCTGGTCGAACTCCCCTGCCACGACCAGGTCGGAGGTTCTGGAGAGGGCCAGAGAAAGGAGGGGGTTCCTGCTATGAAGTGGGGGGGGCCTGCTGCAGGGGCAGGGTACTTGTGTGTGAGTGTGAGTGCATGCGTGTGCAGATACATGGGGGGTGTGCATGCCTGTGTGTGGTGCTGGTCATAGAGGTGGGCCCTCAGGTCCACAGCTGCTCCCAGAACACCTGCCATGTGTTTCCTTCCCGGTGACTCACTGGGAGACCAGCAGGGCTCGACTTTTCTATGCATTTCCAAATTAGGAAACTGAGGGATGGAGTTAAAGGACTCGTCCTGAGTCCTGAGGGGCCTCCTCCCACCCCAAGGGGTTTCCTAGGGGCCCCAGGCGAGACTCACTTGACTCCGCAGTGGGCAGCAGTGACCACCCAGTCCTCGCTGATGAGGGAGCCCCCGCAGAAGTGGAAGCCGGTCTTGTCCTGGAGGAAGATGGAGAGGTCAGCACAGACTGGACCCCCGCAGGCCCACCACCCCCATGTGCCCCCACTCACAGGCAGAGTCCCCCCTCACCTGCAGGGACACCTGCCAGGGCCAGGAGCCAGGGACAGCGTCCTCCCCATTGACGATTCTAGACACGCCACTCAGCACGGGCTGGATGGCGGGGACCCCACAGCCTGGGGGTGGGGGTATGGGGTGAGAGGTGGAGGCCACAGACAACTCTGGGACCCCCATTCAGGACCCTCCACCCCAGGAGTTCCCCAGGGACAGCTCAGTCTGCCCTGCGCTTCCGTCCGCACAAGCCCAGCAGGCGGTGCGTGGCCAGAGCCTGGCAGGGAGGCTGGGCTCTGTGGTTTGAACCGGCCGGGGCACTGCCTCATTTAATCACTGAGTCTCAGTTTCCCACCAGCAAAATGGGAACTGCGCCATCACCCCCCCAACTCACAAAGTTGGCATGGGGACGTAAGATAAGGTAGCAGGGGGACATCAGGTGAGGCGCTCCTGGCCCACACCAGGTACTCTGCAAACGAGCTTAAAGCAGCTGGGCTCAGGGGCCCCCACAGGGTTGGTACGGCTGCCCACCTGCTCACCATCCGCGTCTGTCTGGGAACCACCACCTGCTCAGAGAACTTCTGTCCCTCTGGACTTGTTTTCCCTGTCCCCTGCGCAGGATGTGAGGCCTCAGGCCAGCCCTGGGAACAGCCACCTACTGCTCAGAGGCCTCACACTGGCTGATCCAACCTTCCCCATGTCCCCACTGGAGAGATGGGCTGGTAACCCGTGCTCACACCACCATGCTCTGTTGGACTGGGAGTAGGGCCCCTGGGGCCCCTGGGGCCCCTGTTGGCCTCAGGGTTGGGGAGACAGCGTCCGGGCCTCCACCTGCCCCAGCACTCACCGCGGGCTGTGCCCAGGAGGGTGAAGCAGCAGAGGAGCCAGAGGAAGGCCATGATGTCACAGGGAGGTGGAGGGCACTGGCGGGCTGGCTCCGTTTTATCCCTGGGCACCAGGCTGTTATCTGGGAACCTTGAGGTGACAGTCCCTTTCCTGAGCACGTGCCAGAGTGGGCAGGACATGCCAGAGCAGGCCTGCCTGGGACAGCAGCAGCTGTGGCCGTGGCTGACCTTGTGGCCAGCACCATGAGCAAAGGTGGGGCCTATCACGGTGGCCCTTGACCCACTGCCAAGGGGAAAGTGCCACCTCATGGCTGTTTTTCATTCCCACTGCACTCAGCTTCCTCCTCCTGGCCCTGCCTCAGGAGTGACCCTGTGACGGCCACCAGGCCTGGGCAAAATTTGAGCCCTAGCCTCATCTCTCATGGTCTAGAGGACCTTGGCAAGTCATTTAGCTGGTCTGGTTGTCCAAAAACCCCTAGACAGTGCAGTCAAGTGGAGGGAGGTGCCACGACAGAGTCACAGGTAAGGGCACAGATGTCCAGGGCTGAGGGTAGTCCTGGAGTTTTGAGAATGGATGGCCAAGAAGACTCAAGTGAAGGCACACGTCAACATCTGTGGTGGCCACTCAGGCTGTTTGCAGTGTGGCTTTGAGAGGCAAGTGGGACACTACCGGTTCACACAGGCCCGGGCCTCTTTACCCAGCTGCCCCTGGAGTTGAACTCAGGACACGAGGGCAAGACTGGGCCCAGGGGCTGGCCTGGGGGGCCCTGCTATCGCCCCAGCAAGAGCTGGTGCAGGCGGAGCCAGGTGGGGCCACAGGAGCAGGCGGCCTGCTGCTGGCCTGGGCGGCGTGGCAGGCAGCGGTCCCAGCAACTGGGAAACCGGGAGGGAGGACTCCGAGGGTGAGGTTGCCAGGTGCAGGACCAGCCGCCCGATGTGCGCAGGGAGATGACCTCTCGTGGCTGGTTCTCGTCTCTGCCGTGTTGATCATTGCAGTGTGGTGGCTCCCGGCGCGGGCGTCAGCACCACAGCTGTGGGGCCTTGGCAGGTTTCCTCCCCTCTCTGACCCCATTTCTGGGGATGTGAAATGGGGCTGCTCACAGTGCGTGCCCCACACGGTGGAAGGGCCTGGCCCACATGGAGCATGCCAGGACCCAACACGAGGCCCGCTCTGGCTGCTCCTTGTGCTTCTCAAGTTGCCTGTTGCTGCCCCTTGCACATTCTGGAAGTCTAATGACAGGGAGGGCTGGTCGCCAAGTATCAACAGTAGTAGGAGGGAAAGTGGGATGCAAAACAGGATGCGGACTGGGGACCCTTCTGCATGGAACCATGTGGTCAACCAGCGCTTACGAGGTTCTGCTGGAACTGGACGAACAGAAGAAAGGAAACTTCGATTCCTGCCTTCATCAAGCTCACACGAGGAAGGAGGGGTGGGAGAGGTTAGGGAAGAGGGGAAAAAAAAAAGTAAAATACGCATCACCAGTAGCTAAGGACTTACGCTGTCATTCTTGTCATTACTATTACTACCAGGCAGGAGGGTCTCACTCGGAAGGGGCGTTTAAGGCAAAAACAAAGAGTGGGAGTACACACTCAGTGTGCAGCTCGGAGGAGGCAGTGTCCCGGCAGAGGGAAGAGCGAGGGCGAAGGCCTGGCGGAGCATTCCTGCTGTCCTGAGAGTCTGAGGGCAGCGGGCCCAGGCCGAGTGGCCAAGGGGCCCACGGAGGAGGGCCCTGGGGGAGACACTGCGGGGAGCAGGGGCTGAGACCCTCTGGCAGCCCCAGGGTGGCGAGGCCAGAGTGGGGTAGAGACAGGGCAGGTGGCGGAGGGGACGCAGTGGCCCTAGGCAACTTGTGGCCTTGGGAGCAAACCGCTGGCCTGGACCTGCCCGCCCTGCACCCCTCCTGCACAGGTGGCCAAGGGCTGGGAGGGCTGGGAACCGTCAGCTGCCGGTGGGGGAGGGGCCAGAAGCCGGTGGGGCGGGACCCGAGGCCTTCCCCAGCCCTTTCTGTTCCCCAACCCGAGGCCACTCCAGGGCTGCGAACATGAGTGAACAGATGCTTCTTTGAAACACTACCTTCAATTCTTTGGATTGCAGAACGAGTGCGTTTTTAACTGTGGAGGAGCTAACGCACCCTTTTCCCCAGAGGCTGCTCAGTTTCACAGTCCCACCAGCAGACACAAGGGTTCGGAGTTCTCCACACCTTCACCAGTTCTTTTTCTTACTGTTTTTTGTTTTTTGTTTTATCTCAGTCATCCTAAAGGGTGTGAAGTGATATCTTACTGGGGGTTCGATCATCTTTCTTCGTGCTTATCCGCCTTTCGTATGACTCCCTGATGTTTACGTCCACCACTGGCGCCCTGGAAACTTTCTGCGGCAGCCACCTGACCTCCAGGCCCGGCTCCCACCTGCACTCCAGCCGGGGCCACCTGCAGTGCCCTCTGGGTAACTGCGATGCCTGCCTGCCACAGGCCAGCGGGGCTCATCTTCCCTGGCTCTTGGTTGCCCTTGACTCCTCGGTCGTGGGGGCAGCCCAATTCCAGAATCCTGCGCTCGGGGGTCCTGCCTGAAAACAGCCAGCACACTCACCAGCACACACGCTGGGTTACCCGAGTGTGTGTGTGTTCATTCTGTGTTTCTTCCACTGCCGAGAGGGAGGGAGAGAAACACTGATTGGTTGCTTCCTGTGGCAACCCAGCTAGGGATCAAACCTGCAATTTAGGTGGGTATGTGCCCTGACTGGGACTTGAACCTGTGACATTTCAGTTTACAGGACTACACTCCAACCAGAGGAGCCACACCAGAGATTTTCTTTTTTTTTTAGAGAGAGATTTTATTTTATAGAGAGGGGAAGGGAGGGAGAAAGAAGGGGACAGAAAGATCACTGTTCACAAGAAACACCAATGGGTTGCCTCTAGCACCCCCCCAACGGGGGCCCTGACTGAGAATCGAAGTGGGACCCTTGGGTTTTCAGGACACCACCCAACCCACAGAGCCACACCAGTCAGGGCCTGTGGAGTTTAAACGCAGGGAACTTTTACACATACGTGTGCAGGATTTAGGGAAACTAACAAAGGACAGTAGGGTGCACAGGGCTCTAGCAACAGTGGGGACACACCCAGAGCTGAAGGGACAAGGGGCGGCAGTCGGAGAACCCGGGGGGCGGGGTATGGTGCAGGGGGGCCGCTCGGAAGCGGCCGTGCCCTCTGCGGAGGGAGGCAGCCCGCCCACAGCTGCCGCCGAGGAAGGTACACCCCACTTCTCTCTCCTACGCCGGGCAGGGCCCTGCTGCTGGGGCCGCCCTTGGGCTGAGCCTGGGCAGCTGACCTGCAGTCTCATCCCTGAGGGCCGGTCTGCTGCAGCCAGTGAGGTGACAAAGGTAGAGAGTGGACCTGGCGCGGAAAAGGGGAGACCTGTAGCACGCGTGTTGTGATTATTTTGTATCACTTCAGATGCTTTTGTGATAAAACACATGGCTGACAGTGGCTAAACAGTAAGGTTTTGCTTCTCTCAGGTGAGTGCACACACGCGCAGACCTGGTGTGTGCCGCTGCCAGCCTCTGCCGGGCCACACAGCGATGGCGTGCGTGGCTCCGGCTCGGGGTCTCGCTCCCTCCTCTGGTCTTGAGGTGGCAGCCAAGTGCCAGGCGCCACATGCCCAGGAGCCTGCCAAAGCAGGCTGCGGCCGGGCTCTCCTTGCCCCTGTGTGTCTTCACTGGCTGATGTTAGTCAGAGTTCTAGCCCCTAAGAGCTGGTGGGGTGAGCCTCCATGGGGACCCTCTATGTGGACAAAAAGGAGGCGATGGCTTTAGGCAAGGGTGATGGCTATCTCTCCTGGCAAGACGGCCACCTCGCTGCAGGCAGTGCTCACCTTGCCACAGTCTGGTTGGAATGGGGGCGTGGGCTGGGGGCCCAGGGAGTCGCTCAGAGTAAAAACACATCACCAGATGCACAGACGTCTCCTTGCGGACTGAGTGCACATGGCCTTCAGAGGCCACAGTCCTCCCCTACTGCCGTCGGCTGAGGATCGGCTGGTAGGGCAGCCCTGCTTCTGCTTTCCGCTCTGGAAAAAGCCCAGAGTCAAGAAAAATACAAATGGCTTGGCTACCTGCTCAGAATGAGTGGGTGAGTGGGTAAGGGGGGCACCTGGCAAATGTTAATATTTCAATAAATTACCCTGGCTTGACATTTAAATATGGATTCCTCGTGCTCAAAGCCAGGGCTGACATGCGGCCAGGACACCCCGGGGTGATGGCAAACAGCCAGTTCAAACATCAAAAAGCTTCAGGCTCAGTAGCCAGCGGCTGGCCCGTCCTCCAGGCCCCCAGGAAGGTGTCTGCCTCAGCCCTTACCCACAGGGGGGCTTCGGGGCCTCTGGAGCCTGTCCTAGAGGGGCCACAGTTCCCACCCCACCATTTGGAGCTCCGCTCACCAGGCGCTCCCCCTGCGGACAGCACACAACTCGGAAAGAAAAGGAAGTTTACAACCAAAGACAAAACTTCAAAGCCAGTCAAGCTCAGGTCTGGACTAGTGACGCTGCCCTGCCCATGCCGGCCACCATCGGCCTAGATGGCCGTTGATCAAGGCCCCAGAGGTGCCGGGAGGGCCAGGCTGCCCACCGAATTTGCCTCTGCGAACCTCCCCTCTGAGGCCCGCGCTGGCCCAGCTCGAGCAACAGCGCCCTGCCTTCCCTCTGCCCGGGGAGCGGACTTTCTTGCTTTCGCTCTCAATTTTATTTTGTATTGGTTTCAGGTGCACAGTTTAGCGGTTAGACAATCACATACTTTACAAAGCGTTCCCCTCAGTGTACCATACTAGTTATTCCAATATTAGTGACTATAATTCCTGTGCTGCACTTACACCCCCATGACTACTCGGTAACCACCGATTTGTACTTTTTAAACTTTTAAAAATTTATTTGTTTATCTTTAGAGAGGAAAGGAGGGAGAAAGAGGAGAGAAACATCAATGTGTGGTTGTCTCTCATGCGCCCCCCAACCCAGGGACCTGGTCTGCAACCCAGGCATGTGCCCTGACTGGGAATTGAACTGGCGACCCTCTGGTTCACTGGCTGGCACTCAATCCACTGAGCCA